CAGCACACGGGGGGGAGGAGGATTAAAGGAGAACTATGGGGTCAGTGTTTTTCCCCATAGTTCTCCTTAGGGTAACGGGAGGACACAAACTAGCGTCCTCCCGTCACCCAAAGCTCAGTATATAGGGAGCTACAGCTCGCGGTATACTGAGACGCCGCAGCCGGAGCGGATCCCGACATCGATGTCGAGATCCGCCCAGCTGCGTGAGTGACAGCTGGCTCTGCCTATCTAGAGGCAGAGCCAGCTGTACCCGCCCCCTCCCCCGTCCGTTCCGCCAGTCAGCGCTGGCGGATCACAGCGGGGAGGGGGGAATCCAGCCCCTCCCCTGTCACGGCAAAGAGCCGTGACAGGATTGAGAGGGGGGCGAACGCCGGTATGTGTCCGCTCACCTCCCGATCTACTGAGCCGACCTGCGACAGTCTCATTGTCACAGGTCGGCTAGAACTATGAGGTGAGTGAAAAGCACCCCCACCCCCTCATAGTTCTCCTTTAAAGAAGTTGCACGCCAACTACATGCGCGCGGCCCTCGTACGTGCCCGTCTTTTTGTGGCGGCGATGCGTGCTAAGGTTGGTGACGCAGAAGGTTTAAAAGGGGCGCCCGATTGAAATCGGAACGGAAACGCGCAGCGGAAAGTAAACGGAAGAGCGATCAAATCAAGTACTAGAGCACGACGGAAACGAGCGGACGCTTTCACGGGACCGTTCAACCGCAATTAAAAAGAAAGCTACGGGTGAACGCCGATGAAATGCGTCACCTTCTGGGTCCTCATAGACACAAGGCTGGCCATGCATGTCGCAATTTGATTGTACAATCTGCCTTGCTAAAAGGGCAAGTCCACTTTGTGACAAAATGTGCTTGAACAGTGGTCAGGTGACCATGCTGACCAATTGACTGCTTGCCGATTGTGAGTGTTATGCTAATGCGAAAATGCAGCGCCGGCAGGGAGGAGGGTCGACGGGAAAAGATGTGACCGGTGGAGGTGGGGGAGAGGCGGCAGCTTTCTGTGGGCATGCTCATTTTCTCGCATTTCGTCAGAAAGTGGACTTGCCCTTTAAGCCTTCCTAGCCGGCCCTATAAACGTTCCTCGTGGCAGAGGTGTCACGTGGGCATCCCTGTCATGTGATCACTGCGATTGGCTGAGACTATGATCACGTGACTAGGAGCCCGCTCCACGGGTTGGGAGCGGTCAGTGACAACGCGGTCAGTCACATTGTAACGTGCGCGGTGAGATTGTACAATCACACAGCGAGGCTCGCCACGGCATGGAGATCCCGCCATCTAGCGGAAACAATCCACCGTGGGCGGAATGGCGCCTGAAAACAAAACTGCAGCCGACGTTCTAATCAACCGATAATTACGTAAACAGAGCGGCGAGCCTGCATACGCAGCCCGCAGAGCTCCCCGCTGCATGACATCCTGCCTTCCGGGGTGGCACGCGGCGCCACTCAGGATCACGACGAGCGGTCGGGATTGAACTAGGCCGCCGGCAAAAGGGCAGGTGACTACAAGGTCGATCTGTAGTCAATCGGCACGCTAGAGAGGACGCCAAGCCCGCCCGGCGGACTGCGCTGAGGAACGGGGAGGGGGAGGAGGACCATGCCTCCGATACGGTGCCCGCGCTCCCACTTCAAAGCGAGCTTAGGAACGCGGGTTCGCTTTAAGGGCTGTGCGTCTCCAGAGCTCGCCGGAGCTCCGCAGTTAACCCTTGCGCTGCCGCAACGCATGCAAGTACAAAGTCGGATACACGCGCCGGGCTGGATTCACACCGACGGCAGCGTGTTCCAAAACTAGCCGCTACAACATTGTCTGTCCCCCCCCCACATGTTGTGGTTCCTTCCGCCACCCATGATTTCGCTACTGCGTCATGTAGTGAAGTAGTGGGCAGTGGATGAAACCAAGGAGATAAAACGGGGGGGGGATCCGACACCTTCGGAAGTGTCGGCTGATAAAGACGTGCATCAAGACACGCCCACATAAGTGCCAATGGGCCCTTTAATTAAAGACACGGGGCCACCATTGCTGCTGTGCTGACTCATGGGCTGTATTACTTTCCGAGTCCCGAAATAAACGAGAGACGTGCGTTCACCATTTCTGCATAACTGTGATGGGACAGTGACTAAGGTACTGAAGACGCAGGACAAGCATGACAGGGGCTAGAATTGTCAGATGGAGAGGATAGCCATGGCGCCCTCCATGTTGTCTCTTGTGACAGGTCCACTTTACAGCAATTCATGCAAAAAAAACAAAAAACAAATGAGAAAAAATGTAACATATCACAGACAGATCGTGGCAACGCTTCCAC